GAAATAAGGTGCTCCAACTAACTTTAAATGTTGACTGTGCCATTTGGCGAGTATACTTTGAACAAATAAAAAGGCGTTTCTAAGTGGTACGACCTCTTCGCAGAAGACTTAGAAAATCTTAATGAGGATGCCCGCCCTGGACGTGCGAGTATTTCTACAAGCGATGAAAAAGTTGTACCGGTGAGAAAAAATATTATGGAGAAGCGTTAAATCATTATTAGAGAAGTTGCTGAGAATATCGGCGAATCGGTTGGCTCAGGCTACGCAATTTTTCTCAATGCTGTGGGCACTAAAATTGCTAAATTTTGATCAGGAAAAGCCGTTGCATGAGCTTCGTTTAAAGAGTTGTTGAATGGCGTAAGCAACGATCCCGAGTTGCCCGAAAGTGTGATAACAGATGACGAAGGATGGGTGTAAGGGTACAAATATTGTCTAATGTAAAGATTGCTCGCTGTTTTCTTCGATTACAATAACGTGGTGCATCGTGACCTCTTTTCCAGATGGTCCTATGATCAAGAAGGACTATTAAGTTGAAGTTATACACTGTCTGCGTGAAGCAATACTAAAACATTCGGAATTGCGAAATAACCAGTCATGGATATGGCACTACGATAATGCATTAATTAGCTCACACGTCACACGCCTATTTGTAATTTTTTGACTGTGCGATAGAGCTTCCTTTGAAGCTGTAGTAAATAATCCGTCCGAAAAGACACAATACATCGATTGATCACATACCCAATAGACCGTGATCGACAACCTTGCTATCTTATTCTCTTTCCCCACCTCTTTCTAACCATCATCGTATTACACGCATAGGGACTCCTGAGCGATCAGCTACGCTATTAAAAGAGAAGACTTCAAAATTTGTAGCATCAAAGCAATGAATTTTTTCTTAGATACATTATGATGATTGTATGTCAGTCACGTTGATTAAAAAATACTCCCTTGATGTTAAAAAAAAGGTGTCAAATAAATTTTACAAGCTTGCAATGTGTTAGTTTAATTTGCAATAATTTTTCATCAAGTGTGCTTTGAACTTAAGCAAAACAATTATCCTCCCTTTCATTAAATTCTTTTCTTTTTCACTTTTGTAATTTCATTTCAAGCTTTTGTGAGACATATAAACAGGGACTAATATTGTGACAATATTGTGGAAAGAAACAGTCTACTTCAAGACTTAAAATATCTGACTTTTTATTACGAAATTTTCCAAACTCTTTTGGTAAAAGAAAATCGTTCTGCATTTTATACAAAATAGAAGACGGAATGACTTTGCGAATAATCCAATATAATTTTCGTTCGAAAAATTTGATTTTGTGTTCATCAATTGTGTGAAAAGTTGTATTAGTAAGAAAATGAGTGAAATTCATTTTAGACTGATTGCGCAATAGCTTTGTGGAATAGCTATGTTGATGAATAAAATCAAATTTTCCTCTTTTACTTATTTCCTGGGGCTTATTCACCGGTGTCTCATGCTTTCCAAAATTATACTGACACTGTTACGGTTTATTGAATCTACCATTCCTCAATGAGTAGCCAAAAAAAGCATATCTACGATTGTTTTCGATTGTATTGAAAAAATTGTCTACGTGTGATGCGACGGATGGGTGCAGTCATTACTTATATCTCCGTTTATTCGGTTAACTTAATTGGCATATTATGCCTGAAGCGTTATCATAAATATTCAATAATTATCAGTTGTTTGGCTTCGCTACAGCATTCGTATGTATATTCACCACTGAACGATGAATGTATATTAATTATATCAATATGTCACCGACATAAAGAAGTTAGTGCAGAGATATTGTATATATTTCGGATCGATATCAAATGGCCGTCTATCCATCTAAAATGCATCATGTTTGTGGAGCCGCCATCACCCAATATTAGCATTAGTTCGTAAGTTCAAATCTTTAATGCGATGAAGTTTTCTTTGGCCGTAGTTTAGCGAACGCTCACTCTGACAGAGCACAGACTCGCTAAGCTGTAATCACGACCTTCCTATCTCTTTCCCTTTCCTCATTTCTTTCTGATGGTCATCCTATTACACGAATAGATAGATGACTATCCCTTGAGCCATGTTAAACAAAAAAAAAAAAAAAAAAAATTACAAAATATATAGTGTAGGTTTAATATTTTTAAAAATATTTTTTTTTTTTAAAAAGCCAACGAGTGCAGAAAATGCGGCCATAGTTGAACAAAATTTGCTTACTTGTTGAAAATCCCACATAAAACATAATTAATACGAAAATGATATAGGACTTGAGGCGAATAACATAAAGTCATCAAACGCCACAAAGTGTCGATAAACGTTCAAATCGATATTAAAAGTGATTTTTAGCAGTTGTGAGAGTATTTACGCCTTTGTTCAAGTTTAAACTTGGGATTTGCACAACGGGACGTAGGGACCGACATTGCTGAATCGAATCGATAAAGAATATAAAAGATTTTTCTCTATCTCTATTTGTTCGATCTCTAATACATAATTCTAGACACAAGGGGTGAAGTAGCAAAGCTAATGCACTAATTGCTATGAAAATTCATCTAATCATGGATGTGCTACATAAGTATTCATTTTTCATTATTATGAGGAAAGGAGGGAAGGAAAGGAAGTTCTCGCAAAGAGAATTTAACATTGCAACCATTTTTAAATCATTGATTGAATTTTATAGAAAACGCTCTAATTTCTTGGAAATTAATTAAAGATTTCTTAGGTTGTAAAATTGAAAAAGCACTTTACTAACCCCTTTGGGACAGATTGTTGCCCCTTATTCTTATTTTGCAATCATCGATTATTACAAAGGTAGCGTTTTTTGTTTTTGTCGCTTTACATAAACACACTCATATTACGTGAATGATATTCTGCGGCACTTTGGCTAAAATGTAATGTAATCAATTTGAATAGACTTTCGGGAATATCACTGAAATATTTACAGTAATCTCTTTTAAGTTACGTGTGGGTGAAAAGCCAACACCAGAGACAGAGCACCCAGTTAAGCAAGCATCTACAATAACACTGAATATGAAATTTCCATAAAAATATGTCTCAACAATTCTCCTAATAGTGGTGACATGCAACACACTGCTACACATATGAGAAGATGGTTAGGCACATAAAAAATAATCGCACACATATTTACACGTGTTTGTATTACATGTTTTCTTGCCTTGTTCATAAAAGCAGTTAAGCTCAAAATGCTTATCTGAAATGCTTTTTCTTTCAAAAGAACTAAAGTCAATTCCGACCGAATATTTTGTTTAATAAAAAATTTTTGTTGTTATCAAGAAGCTATTATAAAAAGTATGTAATAAAATTTTTAAAAGTAACATGCTATGTAAGCTTAACGAAATTTTTTCCTATTCTTGAATATTTTTCGATAAAAATTGATGAGATATTGGACTTTGGCGTACTAAAGGAATTGATATCAACTTTTCAACTCTCTCTTCATACAAATATTCCTGCAAAAAATAAATCTTTTTTTAAGATTAAGAGAACATTTTTAATATTTCGCAATGAGAATTAGTCTACTATGGCGAATCGAGATTTAAATTTACATTTGGGACATTTGCGAGCGCAAGGCTTTCGTTTTTAGAGCTCTTCCCATAAAAAGTAAGCCTGTATACGGTTGATAATAAGTGAAGCGCTGTATTAGAAGAAGTCGTGTTAACCACATAATTTTCGGCCATACTGCACTAGAAATTTTTTATATGTTTTTTCAGTTTTTTCATGCCGAACTTTAAATGAAAAGTGAAACTATGATAATGACCATGAAAAACTCTCCTTTAAAGAAAGTTCTCAAGAATATCTGCTTTCAGAAAATACCTTACTTGCCATGCATACTGATTTTTCATCAAAAAATTCCCTTTACTTTAGTTTTCCTAAAATAAATAAAATCAAAGAAGGAAAAAACTGCGAAAATGCGAAGAATTTTTTGAATCATTTGAATACACGTAGGTAGATTAGAAAACTATGCCTTACGCAATGAAGCTTTGTTTTGCTGTGGACGAAATTTATTGGCCGACATATAGTTGGAGGCTGATCCTTTAGGCGCGTTGCCTTATAGCAATCTATAAGCAGTTAATTTCCAGGCGATCCAGATGTACTCGCTTTTTAGATGAACGTATGCAGACACTACTTTTTCATCCACTAAAAATGAGAACCGAGGGCAAATCCCACGTAAAGTCCGCTGAAAGAACAAAAGCTCAAAGTTGATGCACCGTCTGGGCTACCCGATAATTGGAATTCTCATGTAAAATTTTCTCTTTACAAACTTTACTATTCGCTTACTCATCCTAGCAGAGGCTGACATTAGGTATAGTGCTTATTGCTCTATTTAGAATGAACTTCTTTTTGGATATATTGTTTGAGAAATGTTGTTGTTGTAAGTGTTGTTGTCGATGTTAATTTTTTTTATTTTCCGTAGTATGCTTGAATATATTTTGATGTAATCCGTCTGAGTAGGCAAAAAGTCGCGACTAACACCCCAATTGTCGCGGGTCCAAATCTCAAGAGTGGCAGAGTTTTCCGATGTTAAGCCGATGCTAGTGCTTTAAGACTTTAGTCTTGCAGTTTATTCTCTGGCTACATTAGCAATGATAATCTCAATAATAATAATAATATCGATGTAAGTCTGTTTAATTTGGTGATGTAGCAAATGCTAAAGATTTTCGAAAATTAAAGCTGAGATGAATGTCTAAGTTTCGTTCGCAAAAAACAAGAGATTTTTTTTTTTTTGTTTTTTTTTTTTTACGCGTTTTAAATTTCTTTTATTTCTCTTACATCGATTTACTCGTTTTCCATGATTTGGTTGAAGACATCTTTCCATTTAGTTGAAATTGAAGAATTCTCTACAATTTTAGTTTATAGGACTTTTTCGAACATTGCATCAATCTTGCAATTCAACCGATCATTTCTTTCTACTGTGTTTCTTTTCCTAATATCTGTCAACAGCGTTATTTTATAAAAGTTTTTCGATGCTCTTAGTGTAACTTAAATCATGCATTCATTCATTTATTTGATGACAAATTTTCCATCAATTTCAGGTTCCAAAGGTGTCGGTACACGTTTCGATGAACAACGTTTAACATTGCGTATACATCGCGGGCGTGGATCGACAGCGCTTGATTCGACGCATAGCAACGGTAGTACTTATAGTACATCCACAACTATAGGCACACCATCACCGGAACGTTTAAGCAAATACTCGACAAGGCGTTATCATCCAAATCATGATAAAATCAAAATTTCAGTATCATATCCTTCAAGTGATAATATAACGGCAATGACTACTTCTCACGATCATCATGAACAATCGAAAACTCAGCACCACGAAAGGGAACAGCGCACGCCATCAACTTGTAGCGGTAATATGCTGTACGCTGTTCATTATAGTTCAACAAATGGACGAAATATGACCGAATCTCAATTGTATAGTAGTCATCAAAGCAGTAATTATTACCTACAAGTGGGTAAGACAATGCCTGATATGTTAAGACGACCATCGGTCGTTAACGATCAAAGCTCTCAACTCGGTAATATTAGAAACAATAAAAAGATGGGCAAACGCAACATTAAGGCGCAAGTTAAACGATTCCGTATGGAAACGAAAGCAGCCAAAACTTTAGCTATAATTGTTGGTCTTTTCATATTCTGTTGGTTGCCATTCTTTACCATGTATATAATACGTTCGTTCTGTGAGGATTGCATTGATCCTTTACTATTTTCGGTAATATTTTGGTTGGGTTATTGCAATTCTGCAGTAAATCCAATGATTTATGCATTATTCTCTAAGGATTTTCGATTTGCTTTTAAACGGATTATTTGCCGTTGCTTTTGCCTACGTAAAAGTTTAAATTTGAAAAGTTCACGACGCGGTTCCGATCTATCAGCGATACGCATTGGCGGCATTCGAACACCAAGTATAACGCCCAGCGCTGCAGCTCATTCGTTGGGCGATGAATCCGAATTGCAAAATTCTGAATTGAGTAGCGATCCTAGATGACGATCTTTTGGACCCAATTCAAGTTCACAACTAAGCTTGGGGGTCCGGAGAACGAGCTTAAAAGTACCCATTTATGAAATATGCCATCCATTGGTAATGGATATTGGAAGCACTGCACAAAAAAAACGTACGCATTTGTAGCCTTTAATTGAGGGGCGTATTTTTGAAATGAATGCCATTAATAAAGGGGTCAGGGCAATACGCTTAGAATAGAATAGAACTAAATATATAGCGAAAGAAAATTTTAAACCATAAACCATAGTAAAATTACTTACATACAACAATATACTCACATATAATATAAAATGTTTCCAGGGAAATTCTTATAGCTCTCTTGTCTTGTCTCTTCTATTTCTCTATCTTTCCCATTCCCCTTTAAAATATACATATATTTATATACATGTTCGTAATATTATAAATGAATTGAAAATAAAAAATTCTTTAATGAAACGTTTAACATAAATCTTAACCTTAAGAAAGGTTATACGAAAATGTACAATACAAACACATACATATATATATATATATACATATGGGATATTGAATAAGTTCCTGCTGTTTTTCCAAGAGACAGTCTGGATGTATTGTCTTTAAGCTTTACGTAGTAATAGTTGTACTACTAGTATAGGTTATACCGATTTTTAAGAGCTTTACACAGGTAGAGTTTTGGGCAAACTACTCGTAGTTACTTGCCCAACTCGAGGGATAGTTATACTTAATCCCTTCAGGTGATGAACATTGAGTGCGGTATGATATCCGAAACCCATGTAACCGTGGAGGAAACTAGTTGAACCGGTAAAATCGGCTTGGATGTGCTACGATGTTCAAGACTCCATATAGGAAGCTAGATGAACCAGCAATATCGACAATAAATACAAATAATAAAAATGAATATCTAGGCCGTCCTCAGAGTGCTGCAGAGTGCAAAGTATGCTTTAATGTAGTTTCCTCCCAATCGAATGAAACCATCACTAGAGACCGTTGCCAACAATAAATGATTAAATTGGGACATAAGACAGACACAATACGCTATAAGTCATTAAGTTAAGAAATTCTGTCTCATACATGTAACAAAATTTGGTCAGAAAACGTTAGCAGCATGGAACTGTAATGTACTACTGTCCCCGCTGTTATCAGGGAACCTTGCCCCGTATGATTGATGCTGGCTACTAACCAGTGATTTGTTATCTATTCGAGCAAGATTTTTAATTTTATGCTGATAGCCAAAAAATGGATTGTGCACAGAATTTATGTTCATTTTTGGGGGATAAGAGAAGTAATGCTTAACGATAGACGAAAGATTAAATAAAATAACTCGTGCCATTTTTCTTAAAATATATGTGGAATGCAGCAGAAGCTTATTCATATCCTTCCATATATATATAAATAAATAAATAAATGTTTATATACATGTATGTATGCATGTACGCATATAAGGGTATGCATACATATTTTATGTATATTTATTTATTTAGTTATGTTTTTATAAGGCTAATAGTACATAATATATGAATTAATTTCGTCTTTAGCTTTTTTAAATATTTATAAACGATTGCTTCTATAAACTATTTGCGCAAAGAATTGTTGTGAGTTAAGTGATTGTTTTCTTTTGTTTTAGTTTTTTGCATTATACATAATCTAATCTATAAGTAAAAGATGCCTATATACATACATATTTATATATATATTTATATTATTTATTGTTAATAATTGTATTTCAATTATTTATTCTCATTGACTTTTTGTTTTTATTAAATAAATGTTAAATAATTTTAAAAAATTCCATAAAGAAAATGAAAACATTATCCATACATATATATCAAAATAAAAATGTTTATTAAAATTTGCTGTTGCCAATCAAAAATTTGCTTTTCTTTTCTAAAAACATATTATCTCTGATTCTAATTGATTGCGTATAGAGTCATTACAACAGCAAAACGTATATTACGTTTCATTATTCGGGGATAATAAGCGAAAGCACACTTCAAACATACGTTTCGAGAAGTCTCTTACTTACGGACATCATCAACTGTGTGATTATCAACATTTCAAACTACAAACAAATTGCAGAGAATTGGAACGTGAGAGAGAGAGAACAAGTGTACGACTTCGCTTGATATAGTTATTCATAAAATCAGTTTTTAAAATAAGGCCTTATATTGGAAGTGGTCGAAGAATGTCCCCATCGGAATCATTATCACTAGTGTTCGTCCTTAGGCCAAAACAAAATTTCCCCCAAATATCGGAAAAATTGAGAACTATGGGGTGAACACAAGACCAAAAGACAGACAATTGGACAAAAAAGTTTAATATAATGTGAGCCTATCTCAACTCCCTCTAGCTATTGCATATATTCGCACAAATATAAACCGACTCGTTTAGAACCAATTATTTTACCAATAATCAAAATTTCCACAAACTTCAAGTAACATCATCATTTGGCTTTCAGCTGTCTTTAAGGATATTTTCTGGCATGAGTATGAAAAGTTCCCTTTAACTTAATCATCGAAAGCTATTCAACACAAATGATTTGATTGCTTTGCTTTCAAAGCGATTTCTTGTGGACCTAACCTAAGCAGCCTAAAAATAAATTATTTCGCTTTTCAGATAAATGTCTGAAAGGGGCAGAAAAAATTAAGGGAGCTAGTTTTCTTACTTACAAGGTTCTGAAATTCTGGGTTAAAAGCTATGTGTGGACAGACATGGAAATTTTTATTTTTATAAGAAGTTTTTTGATATATATTTCTTAACACCGTCTGTGAAGCAGAGTAGAGAGATCAATTTTGCTTTGCTTTTTACATTAAATGTTTGTCAGAATTATTCAATAGTTGGCTAGAACTTTTGAAAATTCATTTTTCCATTTCATTTTTTTTCATACGGTACAATCGCGGGAAACGATTACAAGTGAGTAAAAAGAAAAACAAAGAAAAATAAATAATAAAAATGACATGAAGAAAGTGGAAGCAGCTCTGCGGTCAATTTACTTCAGAAAACTGAGCAAAAGGAAAAAAAAAGCTTGACAGCGAAGCATAAAAGCAGTATACGCTCCCAGCTTACAGAGCACAAAAGCGTCATATTTTCAGTAAAAAAAAAAAAAAATCTATTGATATCGAAAATTGATAAATTTAAATAAATTTTTGATTGACTTCAACTCGATTGCGTCTGCTTCTCCTAAACTAGGCATCTCAACGTATTCGCATAAATATTTTGTCCCACATGCCAACCGCGGCATTCACGAGCCAAACTTGGGCCAAAAACCATAATAAGGCTCTTGACGATTTTTATTTCAAAATTATCCAGACTTAAGTTCGCCTCATGTGGAAGAAGGTTTTTGTACGAGGAGTTATTGGTCTGAATGCTTGACTTTGCAATGAACAGAACTAAGTTAATCGTTATCATCTTCATTGCATCTCGACATAGTTTACCTCTTCGCCAAATGAATAAATCGTTATGTGAGTTACGTCAAAAAGAGCACGAATATCGGGTAATTGAAAACCCAATCCATTGGAAAACAGTGTTTCGGGTCTTAAAGGGTCTAATAAGAAAATTATTGATCTATGTGATCGATAATTCCTATAATGGATATAAAAAGAAGAATCTTTTCATAGTTAAATTAAACTAAAGCAAATTGAAATATTAAGGTGGAACAAGGTTCTGGTAATTAAGACTATTGTTCTGCAAATCTAATCTCGCTTGAGGTAATAGTGCTAACCTTACTTGTACGAATAGAATAAGTGTTTTAAAAAAATATCATTTATTTTTGATTTACAAGACCGACCAGCCAATGACAACATATATAATATATATATATATGTATATATATTGTTTTTGCTATTTTTATCTTCAGATATACTTGGACTCTGATTGAAGAAATGAGAATTATCCGAGTCACCGTATCGTAATTCAGTTGGAAGTGTAAACCCTCCGGAATCGCGTCTTGGCTGCAACTTCTGGCTATGATGTTCCGCAATACAATAAAGCTTACATAAATTTACATCAAATTGATAGTTTGTTCCGTATAGCTGCGAAGCGTGTGATTGTTGAATGCTCTCTCTATTGATGCTAAAGTAAGATTCTAATCATGAATCTTCCTGAGTCGTATCCACTCAAAAAATTGTTGTATTTATTTCCCGATAAATTTAGAGAGCTTTCCTCGCTTAGAATGCGGTGCTTGGATCCATTAATTTTTACAAATTTTTTTATCATTTTTTTATATATTTACACAAAGAGATTGAAAAAAATGTATCGCTTATAATGCATTCACTAATTTTTGTTGCTTTCAATAATAAAAAAAAACATCTTTAAATTCAAATTGAATTAAAAAAATCTGCCTTCAAAATATAAAAGTATTTTGACAGCTGCTCTCAGAAGAAAACCTACTAAAAAAATTGTTCTTCTTCTTTGAGCCAGCAAATCAACAAATAATTTACTGAGTTGATTAATCGTGAATCCAGTTCAATGAGCAGCAGATTTTTTCAGGTCTTAAAAGACGTAAGAGGAAAATTATTTTTATATCATTGACAGTTTCCATGATGGATATAAAAAGTGGAATTTCATCATAGTCAAATTAAATTAAGGCAAAATAAAATATTATGATCAACAATTAAATCTTGTTCTTGTAGAAACCTAAAAACGCGGGTCCCGCCCTGTTTGGACTCATTTAGCCCCTTCAAAGTACATTGTTCGTCGACAATAAATATCGCAAAATTTCTTCATATGACGGCTTTTCGACAAAGGACATCATGTACGATATCCGATATGGTTGGGAATATGACCAAGATATCAGAGCTAGAGACCTTACGGTGAAATAAGTCAATGTAAAGAATTTCATCAAAACTTTAGAAAAAAAAAATTGCAGCCCTTAGAACAAACACAAAAATGAAGGGGAAGACAACGAAGAAACGTAGTCTATATGAATTTATCTTAGATAACTAAGATAGAAAATGAGTTTTAAAATATTCCGAAACTATCCTTTAATATTCTTTTTAATAAGAACTGAC